CCAGGAGCCCGATGTGGGGCTCGATCCCAGGACCCTGGGATCATGACCTGAGCCGAAGGCAGACGCTTAACCATCTGAGCCACCCAGGCGCCCCGGGGACCTGGTTTTGATACGGAAAGTAGTTTAGGAAAATGAGTACTGAAGTACAACAGCTTCACCAGCATTTCTTTAATAACCTTTTTAAATGAAGTATAGGTTATAGAGAAGCCCATAAATCATAACTGAAAATTGAGGCTAAGTAAACACCTAAATCAAGAAATTGAACATCATCAGTATGCCCAAGAGGCCCCCTTGCGTCCCCTCTCGGTGGCTACCTGACTTGAATCCCATAGATTAGTCTTGCCTGTTTCTGAACATTACGTAAATGCAGTCCTAGAGTACACATACGTGTTAGGCTGCTTTTGCTCAACGTTGTGTTTGTGAGCCTCATCTTCACTGGTGCAGAAAGCAGCAGTTAATTTTTATTCTGTCTAGTGTTCTATCATTGATCCCACCCATCATCCTCTCGGTGGACAGTTAGGTTGTTTCCAGTTGGGGCTAGTATGAATAATGCCATAATAAACATTCTCCCCTGGTGTCTCTTGGTTCATGTATGTCTGTCTTTGTCAGGTGTCCTTCTAGGAGTGCCATTGGGTCAAAAGATAGGCGTAGGTTTTTCTTTAGTAGATAGCATACAACAGTTCTCCAAAGTGGTCGTGCCAATTCACACTTCCACCAGCCGTGATTGAGAGCTTGGGATGTTCTGGGTACTTGGTATCCACAGTCTTAGTCATTATACAGTACTCTGCTGGGTAGGCAGTGCTATTTTATTGTGCCTTTTCTTCATTTTCCTCGTATATATTGAGGCTAAGCCCTTGTTCACACATTTATTGACCATCCAGATATACTTTCTTATGATATGCTTGTTCAAGATCTTCCCATTTTCCCACTGGGTTTTGTCTTTTTCTTACTGATTTTAAGACTTTTTTGTATATTCTAGATATGAGGCCTTGTCAGAAATACGTATTACAAATATCTTCTCCTGTGGCCTGACTTTTTACTCTTAAAAGGTGTCCCTCTTGGTGCATTTTGTGTCCTGCTTAAGAAATCTTCGCCTACCCAAAGGACATGAAGATACTATCCTAAGCTTTCTAAAAGCTTTACTGTTTCCATAATTCACATTTAGGTTTTTGAGATGGTATGAGGTAGGGGTCAGTCAAGGGTCCTATCTTGTTCTGTATGAATACCCAGTGCGGCCCAGTGCCATTTATCGTAAGGACCACCCTTTTCCTACTGCACTACAGTGCTATCTTTGTGATAACTCAAGAGGCTGTGTATGTGAGGGTCTGTTTCTAGATTCTCCGTTCTCCGCCATTTGTTGTTCTGCCCCCAGCACCACACTGTCTTAATAACTGGCTTTGTAATGAATTTTGATATCTGGTAGTACGACTCTTCCAGCTTTGCTTTTTCTTCAAGGATGCCATGGCCTTTCTTGGTCCTTTGTATTTCCATATAAAGCTGAGAATCACCTTCTAAATTTCTACCAAGCAAGCAAGCAAACAAACAAAACTTGCAGGGATTTTCACTGCGATCTAATTTGATTGATATCTTCAAAATACTGAGTCTTCCAACCCATGACCATGGCATTTTTCTCTTCACGAGTTAACAGTCACATTGTTAGCAGAAACAATGTCAAAATCAGAAGTTATTTTATCACAAACTCTCTCATTTTCTTGTTCTTTTGAAGGCCACTCAACGACAAAAATAACAACAGTGGGAATTCAGCTCTGAACAATACCACACCTAACCCTCCAAGACAGAATACATCTGCTCCTGTGAGAAAGCCGGGACCTCTGCCTTCTAGCTTGGATGACTTAAAGGTGAGAATTGCAAGTAGAGTTTTTTTGCCCATAGGTACCACAGAGAGGTAAATGATTTGCCAGATTTGTCTAGTGTGTGTAGATAAGTTTTCTTCAATAGACTTTACCAACATAAGATAACCTCTGTAGAGGCACTTTCTGTTTATGTCCCTTAAGTTTCTTTTAAAATGACTAGTAATGATTCTCATTCGTTGAGCATATACCGTGTGCAGACAGCAAACCAGTCCTGACTGCAGAGGCAGGTTTTTTTTTCTTCCCTGCTCACTGCCAAGTTTGGGAGAAGCAGGAAAAATGTAACCGTCAAGAATCTGATCTCCCAGGCCAGCCTGCGTGGGTTTCCACCGCAGCTCAGCCTTCGCTTATCTGTGGTAGCTCGGACCACAGTGAATCAACCTCTCTCTGCCCCCGTGTCCTCTGTGAACTAGGAATTGTAATAATAATACCCCCACCTCCTGTGCGGATGAGTTGAAAGAATAAAGCACGTCCAGCAGTGTCTGGCACATGGTCATTACTCAGTGAGTGTGATGGTTATCATCACGATTTCTGGTTTTCAGTGCTTGGACATAAATCGCTGCTGTATCACTGGCCTTTGCAGTGCTTGGGGTCTGTAGCTGTGCGTGTCTGTGGGTTAGGAAGAGAAACCCTCCCGCTTGCCAGCGTGTGGTCACGGGGAGCTGGCAGACGCAGGCCCCTTTCCCGTCCAAGTGCCCCGGAGATTTGTCGGAAGTCGCAGTGCCGGATGAAGAGGTGTGACTTGTTTGTACTTGCAGGTGTCGGAACTGAAGACAGAACTGAAGCTAAGGGGTCTTCCGGTGTCAGGCACCAAACCGGACCTCATCGAGCGCCTGAAACCCTACCAGGAAATGAACAGCAGCGGCGTCGCGGCGGGGGGTGTCCTGGCGGTGCCCGCGTCCGCCATAGTCACCAGTAGCCCCGACGTCACCGTGGCCCTGCCCGTCACAACACTGCACAACCCCGTGACGAGCTCGGGCTCCTCCTTCAAGGCAGAAGTGCCACCGGCCGGCACCGGCACCGTTGCCCACGCCGAGACCGTCAGCTCCCCTCTGCCCATCTCGCCGTCCCCCTCCGAACAGTCCAGTCTCGGGACCGAGGACACTCTCACCGAGATTATGACCATGATGTCGCCGGCGCAGTTCCTGTGCTCGTCCCCTCTGCGAGTCACAGGCCCCGATGACAGCCCGAGCCCCACCAGCAGCACGCTGTCGAGTCTGGAACTGGACGCGGCTGAGAAGGACCGCAAGCTGCAGGAGAAGGAGAAGCAGATCGAGGAGCTCAAGAGGAAACTGGAACAAGAGCAGAAGCTCGTGGAGGTTCTGAAAATGCAGCTCGAGGTGGAGAAGCGAGGGCAGCGGCAGCCTCCGCCGATGGAGACGCAGGTCGGCGCCGCGGCCGGCCCGGCAGCCAAGTTAGACCAGAAGCTCGGCGGCGGCTCCATCAAGGACGAGACCTCGCCCAGCGACTGCTCCGCCCCCAGGCAGCCGGGCCCGCCGGCCAGCCAGCCCCTGGCAACGGTGGGCCAGGCCCTGGCGGCCAAAAAGGCGGTGGTGATCAAGCAGGAGGTCCCCGGGGCGCAGGCGGAGCCGCAGAGCGTGGTGCCGCAGTTTTACGTGAGTTCGCAGGGACAGCCACCGCCTGCCCTTGTCGCTCGGCCTCAGGCTTTACTGACCACGCAGACGGCCCAGCTGCTGCTGCCACTGTCCATCCCGGGCTCCAGTGTCACCTCAGTGCAGCTCCCCGTAGGCAGCCTCAAACTCCAGGTGTGAAGTGTGTCTTCTAACTCCTTTGCCTTACAGCCTGCCGAGAGTACAAGCTTGCCTCAGCTTTCTCACAGATGCCTCCGTGCCAGGCTTCGGGGTGCTGGGACATGGCGGGGGCGGGGGGGGGGCGTAGATTCCAGTTGCAAAATGTTAATAGCTAGCACTGTTTGCCTATGACAGAAACACGCAAGCGGTGCTTTTCTACTTCCCATACCTTTTATCTTTATGGGGAACCGTAATGCACATGCAGGTGTTTTTGAATACTAGTTACAGTATCATGAGAATAGCTAGTGTCACGGGGCACTTTCTGTGTGCAAGGCACAGCATCAGGTACTCTATTTTTTTACTTATTTAAGTAATCCCTGCACCCAATGTGGGACTCAAACTCACGACCCCGAGACCAGGAGTCGCATGCCCCTCCAACTGAGCCAGCTGGGCGCCCCATGTACTTTGAAGGGCTTACTCCCGTTAGTCCCTGCTTCCTCCAGAAGATTTAAGTGATAACATCCATTTTGAGATAGGGAAACTGAGGTTTGGTAAGATGCTGGGTAATTCTGACTACAGAGCTTTCACTTTGATGCCCACTCCTGTATTCTGCCTCCTAAATGTAATTCTTGAAAGACATGAGTGAGGCGAAGATGCCAAAGGCATGTTGGGCATCTAAGGCAAATGGGACCACAAGCCTAGGAGTGAGGATGTTGTTGAGAGAGGTGATAAAACACTGGTAGGCAAGAAACCTCCTTTTATGCCAACATAACCCGTGTATTGACCTTAAGCTGTTTTTATGTAAGGCATTTTGATAGTTTTCAACAAAATGTGTGGGCCACAAGTAAACAGAAACCATTTGGGGCAGTGCTCGTCAACTTTGACGCCCCAGACGCTCTTAATGGCAGAAAGGAGTGGTCCCATACCCCTGGGGTTAGGAAGCATGACCCGAGGCCCTTGGCATGTGCAAAAATTCTAATTCCCCTGTTTAACCTTTACAGTGTCTATGAAATTGAAGGTCTACTCACTCTGTAATATAGCTCTTCTGAACACTTTTTTTCCAACCAATTCTTCCAGGAGAGTTGATGTTCTCAGAACAAGAACTGTGTTTTATTCTGGACTTCTGTGTGCCCCAGCGTGTGCCTGACTGCCCCCAGAGGGAGCACATCCTGCAGCTTAGAAGCAGGAGTTTGGGCAGTCGGGCCTCAGAGATTTCCAATTATTACAGTCATTACAACACCTGACCTAGTATGTGTAGAGCTCCTGCAGGCTTTTATTTCAGTTTTCCCTTTTCTCAAAGTTTTCAGATGAAAATCTTAGCCACTTAAGAAACAATCAGAGCATGAAAACAACTGGTCTGGTGTTTCACTCTCTGGTTTAGAATTAAGGCTCAAATCTATGTGTTGATGAAATGAAGTGTGTATCTGTAAATAATTTATTTCATTTCAGATATGATCCCCACATGACCCGTTATTCCACATCTAAGCTCTTTTTTTAATTTATATATATATATATTTAGTAATCTCTACACGCAACGTGGGGCTCAAACTCATGACCCTGAGATCTAGTCGCACGCTCTTCCGACTGAGCCAGCCAGGTGCCCCCACATCTAAACTCTTGATTCTGAGATTGATTTTGACATGTAAATTGATTTTTTATTTGCTTCCTAGACTCCAGCACAAGCAGGAATCCAGACTCAGCCTCAGACAGCAACTGCCACCCTGTCCTCAGGCTTAGCCCAGACTGTACCTCAGAAGCAAGACACTTTCACGCCGCATGTACTCAGTCAGCCTCAGCAAGTTAGAAAGGTGGGTGAAGGCTAACGGGTGGCAGGCTGTCGCTGATGTGTGCTGTCGTCTGCTCAGCAATCCTGCAATATCCACAAAGCAGTCTCCTCGTGGGAAGCACCTATTTGTTCTTCTGTGTGATGTGCCCCCCATCGGGTGGGCCTCAGGTCACGTGGCCTCTGGCTGCAGATTACCCAGTTATTTGGGGAAGAGAGTTCTGTATTACTGAAAGATAGCTCATCTTAACAGTTAAACCCCTTTTCCAAGTAAAGTTTCAGAAGTATGTTTTTAATCCTCATGTGTAGGATTTTCTGGGACTTAAATTTCAAATTAATTATTGGGGGGGGTTGGCAGTGCTGTTCCCTGGGAAGAAATATTTGAAGATGAAAAAGATACTTTCTGAAAGGTTTGCCTTGAATAAGATCTTTATATATTTAAGAGTTTGCCATCTTGCAGATTAAGAGCCAGAAGACCCAGGCCTGGTTATTCTGGTTCCCCACTTCCTACATGGTTGGCCTTATGCAATATTCACTTACTTTCTCTGAGTGTTATTTTCCTCGTCTTTAAAATGACGGTGTTGGTCTAGGGCTCAATAACTTATGCATGTGTTCCCACCAAAAAGTTCTGATGTGAAAGCCCCAAAAGTTACCAAAATTCCCTCTTAGCCAGTAGGTGGAGCTATGTGCACATCTCTCCTTGTGAGAAAACTTCTAAAGGCCTCAAAAATAGGTCTCACTCTTTTATTTTTTTAATTTATTTTTTAGAGGGTGCAGGGGCAGAGGAAGAGGGAGAGAGAGAATCTTAAGCAGGCTCCATGTCCAGCGCGGAGCCCGACACGGGGCTCGATCTCACAACCCTGAGATCATGACCTAAGCCGAAATCTAGAGTCGGGACACTTAATCAACTGAACCACCCAGTTGCCCCAGGTCTTACTATTTTAAACCTTGAGAATTATTAGTCCCAGAATTTTAATCTTCAGCATAAAAGAACTTGGATAATGAGGTGTACCTGTAGACATGGCCCAACGTGGTGTGTACTGTCTAGGCTAAGACCACTTGAGCAACAGACAAAAACAATGCCTGGGGTCATTGGTAGTCACATCAACTTGTGCTCTCTTCTGGAATCTGCTCTGGGAAACACAGTGAGCAAGGAGTTATAGCTGCGTATTACTTACTTTGGGCTCAGAATAACATTTTAGTATAGTGATAAGCTTAGTGAATGTTCATATGTCAAGACTGTTTTAGGGAGGAGAGAGAAAAACAGGATATAGACAAGATAAATAAGGGCTTATTCACTTAGTCTGAAAAAACTAGAATTAAGGGTCATTAATTCCATTTTAAAGGAAGAAATTCTTGTACCAAATAGAAGGAAATTCAACTTTTTCAAAGGGGAGTACACTTACTTCTAGAACTTCTCACCCAGAGCAGTGGTACCATTTGGAGGGATATATAGACACATACATAAATATACTTTCCCGCTTGAGAAATACATACGTATATTTACAACAGAAATATAGGGGTAAGTTTTTCTCTTTCAAAATATGTGGTATAAAGTATACTAGATCTTTTTACGAGTAAATCAGCTCTGTGAAATACAGTTGCAAAAGCACACTATGGCCATACATTTGCAAAAGTCCATAAAACCTTTGGCTCCTAATGGGGGCCAAACACACACTCAGCCGTTCCACAGGAGAGAATCCTCACCGCTTACCGACAGAGCAGAAGTTAGCTTCTCAGAAGGGGGCAGATTTTAAATGGGGCCTCACAAGGATCTGGAGAAATGTTCAAGAAACTGGAAAATTGAGGGCGCCTGGGTGGCTCAGTTGGTTAAGCGACTGCCTTCAGCTCAGGTCATGATCCCAGGGTCCTGGGATCGAGCCCCGCATCGGGCTCCCTGCTCCGCGGGAGGCCTGCTTCTCCCTCTCCCACTCCCCCTGCTTGTGTTCCCTCTCTCGCTGTGACTCTGTCAAATAAATACAATCTTTAAAAAAAAAAAAAGAAAAGAAAAGAAACTGGAAAATTGAGTGTGGCCCCAGCACGTGTGGCCGTTGTGGTCAGCTAAAAAGGGGCCAGGTGGTAGAAGGTTCGTGTGCCAGCCAGACAGGAGGGTTTTACCACGAAGGACAGAGGAGCCAGGAGTGTGGGGGCTCCATCAGGTGTGGGTGTGAAGGCCGGAACTGTTGTGGAGGGCTGACGGGAGGGAGGCTCAGCAGGGAGACTGTGCCAGTTTTCCAGGGATCAATAGCAAGGGCCTGGATTAGGACAGCAGAGAACAGAGGCCTGATTCAGGAGGCATTCCGAAGCTGTGTGAGCTCTGAGGGGAGAAAGCAGAGGAGACTGATGGCTCCATTTACCAAAGTTTTAAAAATAAATCACAGTAGAACCAAGAATTATTTTTCCTCAGAGGCTGGAGGTGGTGGGAGGAAAGGGGAAAGTTTAGTTTGGAATATATTAAATTTGAGATGTCCCAAAGTTATGTTTATAAGGGTTATAAAAAATGTGGCTGTGGCACTTGGGAGCAAGGCTGGAAAAGAGGGGTTGGTTGGGGGGTTATTAGCTTAATCGTGAACATTAAAGCCATGAGAGTAGATGAGATCACCCTGGTGAGGAACAGGAGAAATTCAGCTGTCGCTTAAGAGAAAAATTACTCTTGAGCAAATGCTGATTTCCCGGAAGGTGCGGTCCCCGCTGCCATCGAAGACTGGCCACTGAGTAAGGGATGATTGACGCCGGAAGATCAGGGTCAGCAAACTGTGGCCTCCGGGCCTGTCTCTGTGGGTAAAGTTTGACTGGAACCCAGTGCCACCCATTTATTTCCGGGTTGTCGAGGCCACCTCTGGGCTGCAGCCGCACAGGGGATCAGCCACCTTGGAGAGCCGGGGCCTGCAAGCCCTCAACTGAGTACTTGAGGGCTCTTGCCAGCAAACGTTTGCCACCCCTTGTCCGAAGACATGGTTTTCTTTGGTAGGAAGAGCAAAAGAACACACTGAGTGGAAAACACTGGTTCGTTACAGGTCTTCACAACCTCGGCATCGAACACCGTTCTCCCCTACCCGAGAGCACCCGCTCCAGCAGTCCAGCAGCCCTTTGTCAGTAAGACGCCCACCAGCGTTCTGCAGTCCAGAAGTGCCCCACGTGCCTCCCTGCAGAACGGACCTACCACTTCCAGTAAGGTAATGCTGTGAGCACGGAGCACCAGCAACAGGGGTGCTTCCTGGGGTACGAGAGCATTCCAAAACCCAGCGCTTCCGCCTTGGAGGGACTGAGTATCAGTACGCATGGGACAAAACAGCCAAAATACCGTGGTGACAGTTGTTAGGGGGCAGCTTCGCTCTTACCACAGTAAAGGTGGCCCTTCCACACGAGGTGGCCCCCTGTCAGCCGCACGGCTCCTAGGTCCTGAGGCTCGCGAGGTGAGGAATGCCGTGATGGGGCTGCCCCGTGCTGAGGGCAGAGCCCTGCCTGGCCGGGGCTCGAGGAAACTCGCTGCCCGGAGCTGACATGTGTCTCCCTCTGTTTGCCTCAGCCTGGCTCGCCCCCGCCACCCCAGCAGTGTGTCGTCCAGCACTCCCTGTTTGGGAGTCCGGTCCCCAAGACGAAAGACCCTCCCCGCTACGAGGAGGCCATCAAGCAGACGCGTAGCGCCCAGTCCTCCCTTCCAGAGGTAAGTGAGGCCAGTGGCCATGTCCTCGGGCTTACATCTGGGGTGTCATCCTCACATGGAATCCCTTGTCGAAAATGTACTTGCCGCGAAAGAAACACAAATTTCAGCGTCAGGAGCCTCCTTGGCATTTTAAATGCTATTTTTTTTAATTGAAGTAGGGTCGACGTACAATATTATATTCGTTTCAGGCATACGACACAGTGACTGGACATTTACAGACATTATGGAATGCTCACCAGCATAAGTGTAGTTCCCATCTGTCACCGCACAGTTACTCCAAGATCACTGACTGTATCCCCCATGCTGTGCGTTGCGTCTGTGATTTATTTTGTACCCGGATGTTTGTACCTCTTCATCCCCCTCACTTATTTCACCCTTCCCCCCACCCCTCCTCCCCTCCAGCAACCACCAGGGTCTTTGTATTTTTGAGTCGGTTTCTGTTCTGTTTGTTCATTTGTTGTTTTTTAGATTCCACATGTAAGTGAAATCATTTGGTATTTGTCTTTCTCTGACTTACTTCACTTAGCATAATTCCCTCTTAGTTCATCCCTACTGTCACAAATGGGAAAAATATTCTTTTTTATGGCTGAGTAATTTTCCTGTGTGTGAGTGTGTGTAGCACATCTTTATCCCTACATCATCAGCGGACACTTGGGCTGCTACCATATCTTGGCTAGTGTAAGTAATGCTGCAATAAACATAAGGGTGCATATATCTTTTTGAATTAATGTTTTTGCTTTCTTCAAATACACGTGGTAGCTCTATTTTTAATTTTCTGAGGACCCTCCATACTGTTGTCCACAGTGACTGCACCAGTTTGCATTCCTACCAACAGTGCCCCAGGGCTCCCTTTCTCCACATCCTCACCAACACTTGTTATCTCTTGTCTTTTTGATTTGATACAGGCCATGCTGACTGGTGCAAAGTGGGCTCTAGTGGTTTTGATTTGTAGTTCCCTGATGATGAGTGATGTTGAGCATCTTTTCTAGGTCTGTTGGCCATCTGGATGTCTTCTCTGGAAAAATGTGTATTCTGTTTGGGGATGGACTGTTCCATATGTATCTGTTAAGTCTGTCTGGTCTGATGTGTCATTCAGAGCCACTGTTTCCTTATTGATTTTCTGCCCGGATGATCTGTTAGTTGATGTAAGTGGGGTGTTAAAGCCCCCTACTCTTACTGCATTACTGTCAGTGTCTCTCGTTAGTCTGTTAATTATTGCTTTATATGGATAGACAGACAGGTAGATAGAGGCTCCTGTGTTAGATGCATAGATATCTGTAGTTGTTATAGCCTCTTTCTGGATTGATCCCTTTATCATTATGCAGTGCCCTTCTCTGCCTCTTGCTACAGCCTTTGCTTTAAAGTCTGGTTTTTTTGTTTTGTTTTATTTTTAAATTCAGTTTAGTTAACATTCATTTTAGTTAACATGCAGCGTATTTCAGTTAAACTCAGTTAACATTCAGTTTAGTTAACATATAGCATATTATTAGTTTCAGTAGAATTTAGTGATTCATCAGTTGCATATAACACCCAGTGCTCATTCCATCAAGTGCCCTCCTAATGTCCATCACTGAGTAACCCTGTGTCTGTCATAAATATTCCTACATCAGCATTTTGGTTTTTTTTTTTTTTTGCTTCCATTTATATGGAATATATTTTTCCATCCCTTCACTTTAAGTCTGTACGTGTCTTTAGGTCTGAAGTGAATCTCTTATAGGCAGCATATTAGATAAGTCTTAACTTTTTTCATCCATTTGGGAACCCTATGTCTTTTGATTGGAGCAGTTAGTCTGTTTATATTTAAAGTGATAGGTAATTACTGCCATTTTTTAAAATTGTTTCTGGTTGTTTTTGTATTTCTTTTCATAGTTCTTCTTTTGCTTTCTTTCTTTGTGATTAGATGACTTTCCTTGATGTTATACTTGGATTCCTTTCTCTTTATTTTTTGTATATTATAGGTTTTTGTTTTGTGGTTACCATGAGGTTCATACATAATATCCTATGTCTATAGTACGCTATTTTAAGTTGATAGTTGCTTAAGTCAAACACATTCTAGAAGTACTACATTTTTACTCCCCTTTTTATGTATATGATGTCATATTTTACATCTTTTTTATTTTGTGAATTCCTTAACTAATTATTGTAGATACAACTAATTTTACTACTTTTGTCTTTCAGTCTTCATACTAGTTTTGTAAGTGATTGATTTACCTTAACTATACATTTGCTTTTACCAGTGAAACTTTTTCCTTTCATAATTTTCTTCTAGTTATGGCCTTTTCTGCTTAAAGAAATTCCTTTAACATTTCTTGTAAGGCCACTTTAGTGGTGATGCACTCCTTTGACTTCTATTGGCCTGAGCAACTCTTCATATTTCCCTCAATTCCGAATAATAGCCTTGCTGAGTAGAGTATTCTTGGTTGTAGATTTTTTCCTTTCACCACTTTGAATATAGTATGCCTCTCCCTTCTGGCAAAGTTGCTGCTGAAAACTAAGCCTCAGCTTTCCTGGTACATAACTCGTTGCCTTTCTCTTGCTGCTTTTTAGAGTCCCTATTTTTTGACATTTTGATTATTATATGGGCATCCTTGGGTTCATCTTGTTTGAAGCTATCTGTGCTTCCTGGACCTGGCTATCTGTTTCCCTCTGCAGGTTAGGCAGGTTAGGGAAGTTTTCAGCTATTATTTCTTCACATAAGTTTTCTGGGTCTTTCTCTCTCTCTTCTCCTTCAGGGACACTTATGATGCGAATGTCAGTACACTTGTTGTCCCAGAGGTCTCCTAACCTAGCCTCATTTTTTTCTCTTTTTTTTCTTTTGGCGGTTCTGTTTGGATGATTTCCACTACCCTGACTTTCAGATCACTCATCTGTTCTCCTGCATCCTTTAATCTGCTGTTGATTCTCTCTTGTATATTTTTCAGTTCATTTTATTTTATTCTTCAGCTTTGGTTCTTTTTTATATTTTCTGTTTATTTGTTTAAGTTCTGAGTCCACCCACTCTTCTCTCAGATCCAGTGAGCATCTTTATGACCGTGACTTTGAATTCTTTATCAGGAAGATTGCTTATCCCTGTTTCATGTAGTCCTTTTTCTGAGATTTTGTGTTGTTCTTTCATTTGAAACATATTCCTCTGTCTCCTCATTTTGCCTGACTCTGGGTTTCTTTCTGTGTATTAGGTAGGCCACCTACATCTCCTGGTCTTAAAGGTAGTGGCCTTGTATAGAGGGTGTCCTGTGAGGCCCAGGAATGCAGTCCCCCCTGCTCACCAGAACCAGGCCCTCCAGGGGTGTGCTCTGTGTGGACTGTGTGCACTCCGCTTCTGTTCTGGGCCAAGACGTCTGTGGGTGTGCTGGTGGGCAGGGCAAGCAGCGCTAGCAAGATAAGGATAGACGGACAGTGTCAGAGCTGGTTCCCACCAGTATTTACACTCATACAAAGATTTCCCGCAGATCTCTGCTCTCCCAGCACATGCCCTAAAAAGTAAGTCTCCTACGCATATAACCCGGACACTTTCCAAACTGCCGCTTCTGTGCTGGGTCTCAGAGCAAGTGGTAAAATGCACTGGCCCTTTAAGAGCAGAATCTCCGCTCCCTAGAGCCTTCCGGCTCCGGCCCCACTGATTTTCAAAGCCAGAGGTTTTGGGGGCTCATCTGCCCATTGCAGATCCCCAGGGTGGGGGGGTGCCCACTGTGGGGCTTGATCCCCCTCGCTCCTCGTGGAGGACTTCCACGCTCGTGGGTGATATTGATCACTGTGCCAGGGGTGGTTCCTGACCACATCCCTGCCCCTCCTTCCCTTCTCTGTGTGGCCTTCTTTGTATCTTTAGCTGTGGGAGAGAGATGTTCTGTTAGTCTTCAGGTCATTTTCAGAGTGAGTCTCACTATATTTAGTTACATACTTGATGTGTCCATGGGAAGTGAGCTCAGGATCCTCCCACTCTGCCATTTCCCATGCTTCTCCTGTAAATGCTACTTTAAACCCAAATACCAGGCACTGTGAAGACTCCCAGACAGTTCTGGCAGCTGGCAGCTGTAACCTGCACTTCCTACTTACTCAGACTCGAGGTTTTTCTTTTAACTTCTCCTTGGGGAATGGGTCACATTAAGGATAGATGTGATGATGGCCAGGGCATGTATTTTATACAGGTCTCTCTATTCTTCTCTTTTTATTCAAGTATAATTAACATACAGTGTTAGATTAGTTTCAGGTGTACAATATAGTGATTCAATAATTCTATACATTTCGGGGCGCCTGGGTGGCTCAGTTGGTTAAGCGACTGCCTTCGGCTCAGGTCATGATCCTAGAGTCCCAGGATCGAGTCCCGCATCGGGCTCCCTGCTCGGCGGGGAGTCTGCTTCTCCCTCGGACCCTCCCCCCTCTCATGTGCTCTCTTTCTCATTCTCTCTCTCTCAAATAAATAAAATCTTTAAAAAAAAAAAAATAATAATTCTATACATTTCTCAGTGCTCATCCCCTTTATTTCACCCATCCCCAGACCGACCTCCCCTCTGGCAACCACCAGTTCTCTGTATTTAAGAGTCTGGTATTTTGATCGTCTCTTTTTTGTTCGTTTTGTTTCTTAAATTCCACATATGAGTGAAATCGTTTGGTATTTGTCTTTCTCTGACTGACTGACTTCACTTAGCATTATACCCTGTATGTCTATCCATGTTGTTGCAAATGGCAAGAGCTTATTCGTTTTTAAGGCTGAGTAGTATTCCATTGTGTATATATATACCACAACTTCTTTATCCATTCGTCTATGGATGGACACTTGGGTTGCTTCCATCGTCTGGCTATTGTAAATAACACTGCAGTAAACATAGGGGTGCATATCTCTTTTCAAATTGGTGTTTTTGTTTTCTTTGCATAAATACCCAGTACTGAGATTTCTGGATCATAAGGTAATTCTATTTTTAATTTTTTGAGGAACCCCCATACTGATTTCTGCAGTGGCTGCACAGTTTGCATTCTCACCCACAGTGCACCAGGGTTTGTTT